CCACTACCACCACCAGCAGCAGCAGCAGTAGTCATACAATTTGAAACATGAAAGATTTGCAAGACCAGGTTTCATTCTTTTGATTGCATATGAATTAAGCCTCAAATAGAATCAATTTGATGTGTTGTATTAAGTAATGTGAACTGAATGGGCATTAACAATAATAGGCTCTAATAGGTGGACCTAATAATATTAACAATGGCTCAGTTCAATATAGGTGTCAGCCATGCCAGTGTGCACAATACAGAGGCCCTGACAATCACTACGGAACGCAGCCATTAGCAATGTTAGCAATTACACCTGTGCTTTCCTGCAATTACATGTCAAAATGACTGTCTACCTACATCAGAGTTTATAACTTAAACATTAGTGTTAAAAAATGAACTATTTCCCAAACACACATGTGAATCTGACACCTTGGATGTGCACCAGCAATGATTTTCAGATTTTTACTACCCCATGCACAAAACAATAATACTGTATCTATTTGGTTGAGTGGTTCTCATTAAAATGCGTATTTCCTTCCCTTTCTTGACCAGTAGACCCTGAGAGACCACTATACAGCGGTTTGCAAACTTTTCCAGCTTGAGAAATGGTTCAACAAGATACTGGTACGGTTGGTATTGGTTATAATGATGTTGGCAGTGATATGTTCCTGTGTGGCCTCTGGGTCATATTTAAAGGATGAGACCTGCTCTGGTGGCTCGGGCCAATGTTGCTTAAGCTTGATCTCCAGCGTCTAGTTTTGAGCTGCCATATCACCACTGCAAAACATCTGAAGCTTCCTGTATGGCACAAACACAACTGGTTACATATGACGATGATGAAATGTTCTGCTTTCATTTTGATATACTTTAGTACTAATGTACTGTCTGTCCAAGAGACAGATCTTTCATGGGGTATTTGACACAATTCCTGCAAGATGTGAAAGGAAGCTAGGAGCAGTACAGTACAGTTTTGCTATTGTTGATTCATCTGGGGATGTTGAAGTTACCCTTTGCCTTTGCCATTTTTCGGTATCTACAAAGTTCAACTGCTCTTTTTTCCGCCTGCACTGACTTTATAGCCAATCATCAACATAAAAGTTGGGTTGGCATGAGAGATTCTAGAATAGCTTGCACAGCTAGAAAACGGGGTCGGTCCAAAGAGACGCACAGTCATTCTGTCCTCTTTTCTGTTCTGAGTCACGTCGCCATCAGGTCACCACAGAAACCAGATAAAGTCTTTTTGTTGTCCAAATGCAATATGATAAAACTCATAATAACCACAATCAAGGTATTTTTCAAATTCAGGTCGTTTAGGAGCTTATACAGTGACATTTCTATGGAAGGACGTGGAGCAAACACAAACCCAATGGTTTCTTTTTTGGGAGGTGATAGACTCTGTGATGGATATTTACCATAAGTTTCCATTGTTCTAGGTTAGCGTCTGCTGAGGCACAGATTCAACATGTCCACTGTCTAAAACACCTTTGAGGAATGTTGTGTATTAATTTTGTAACCTTCATTTTAATGCTCCAGGAAAAGCCTTTTTAAAGACTATAAACGTTGATCAGCAACCTTACGATTGCTGTGTTTGGTATCTTGAGATTGTCCTGTTTGAATGGCAAAGGCACTTGGTAGTATCCATATACAAGCTCAGCAGAGAGACATGCATGACACACAAGAATGAATTCTCTGCCTTTTTCTTTATACTTCAAAACATAATGAAATAGGTGAACCAAGAGATCATTCATTATGGTCACTGAACTCTGGTGTGAAAACATGTACGCTCATGTTCCTGTTCATGACGAAGCCAATTCACCACCGCTTCAAGCTTATTTTTTATTTAATTATGAGCGTAAGGCCCACAGACTTGGCTGTCAACCACTTTCCAAAGTTCCAATAGTTTTGGTGCATTGTTTATTCATTTCAGGTAAATTAACCTCACTTAGGTAAGTCTACTTATCAACATGCCTTTGGTTGGGTATGAGCTCTTTGGGATTTCAGATTGTCTGTTGTTTGTGCAGGATTGTGTGGAGGTGCGTTGTAATGTAACAACAATGAAACAATTAGAAAACAATGTTTTATTACTCTGATTTACTGCTGTTCCATTCACTCTCAATCTCTCTCATTCAACTCTCTATTAAGCCACAGGAGGAGGGATCAACAAATCTGACTCAGTATGCCTTTAAGTTATCCCTTATGGTTTATCTTTATTATTATTTTATGTTAATGCATCATAATATTATATAGAAATGTAAATACTGATTTAAGTGCAAACTCATATTTTTCACCTACGTTAATACTTTAACAGCATTTTTCATTTAAAAACAACAAAATATTTGGATGGATTCAACAACATTTATAAATGTTTTAGTTGCCTTAGGTCCAAGACTACATGAATGGTAATATGATATTGGCTGTTTGTGTGCTTTTGGAAATCATGCAAAGCCACTAATGGGGGAAAATAACAAAATGTACAATAAATAAAAAAAGCTGATCCTGTGTAAAGGCTGCTACATATCAATTTACTTATATTGACTATATAAACAATTTAGTATAGGTACAGTTTTGCCAACTCAGATGGTACCGATATGTGGTCGCTCATGGACTATTAGACTGGATTTGAACAGCAGTCCATTACTTTAGGAGGTGATTACCACTAATAAGCTTCCAGTCAGCAAGGTCCTATTAAACATAATCTATGTACAGAAGTTTAAAGATAACTAGAGTTTGCCCACCCAGATGCTACTGTTACTGGGTGTTGGGTCTGAGCCCATGGACTATCCAGTCTGGTTTAATTCTGGTTTAACAGTCAAAAATCTCAATTGCAGATGGATTAGTAATTCAAGCTTTAGCTGAAAGAAGATGTCAGCGAAGACCCATCAGATATAATGAGAACCCGGCCTGGCATTGTGGTCCAGGACTTGCCAGACTTATGCATAAACCTCAGTGTAAACTTTGGATTTCAAACCTCAAAGTTGATAACCGTCAAACCTGTTGATGAAGGGTGCAGTGTGTATCTTAGAATCATGATCTGACATATGCCAGACCACAAAAGAAGCTAGTAAAGCAACCAAAAAGAGCAGTGAGATAGAGGAACTTGTGGTTTATAAACTTTTGTGATGTGAACTTTGGTGATCTTCCTGTTTTACAACCAGAAGAGACCAAAAATGTATTTTAAAATGAATTTGTTTTGGGTAACAGATATGTTTGTTTTCTTTCCATTGGGTTCTGTACTGTACCGTAACATAAAAACATAAACCACAATGTGTACTATAAGGTTAGCAATACTGCTGCAGTACTAAATAAAAAATAAAAATTGTGCAATATAGAAATATAAATAATAAATAAATAAAACTAAAAGAAATATGAATATAAGAAAACAAAGTTAGAATTCACATTCACATGTAGAGTAGACTGTCTCAATGTAAAAATAAACAGATCATAGAACATAAATACTACACAGATTATGAATATTTAAATTACACTTGTAGGTGAAATGCTCAGTAAAGTACGTATGAACTCTTGTCAAATCGTCTGGATCCCGAGGTGGTGCAGTAACAACACTGTGCATATACCTCAGTTATTCACTGTGCCGTGTCCCGTGTTATTACACAGCAATATTTGGGGTGGCGCGCCTGTCGCCCGTGTGTTTTGCTGGTCGGAGGCTTCTGCACAGAGATGGCAAGAGAACCGTAGCAGACTCCGGGGCCTGTACGGTTGGGCATTTTAACGACAACCGTAACGTTAGAGAAGACACAGAGAGTAGGAAGGAGAGCAACGACGGACGAGGTAAAACACAGCTGCTTGTGTAACTTAGACCACTGCGGACCACTTTATGGTTAACACTTAATTCTCGACAAGCCTGTCCTCCACGTCTAACCTAACTGTTTGACTGTGTTAGCGCTGTGATGGCGGACAAACAGCAGAGCTGCTCAGTACATTGACATTAGTGAGCCGGCTAGCGGGCAGCAACTGGATAAAAGCTAACTTGGCTAAGTTTGTAACGTTAGCTGGCTAAGCTAGCTGTGTCTGCTAGTTGTAAGTTACAGCTGCAGAGTAAAGAAAGACACACGGAGGGCTTCAGCTGTGTGCGGGTGTTATCATATGGTAGTCGGCTGGTTTGAACATAGCGACTACAGGGAATAACACTAAAATGGGGATCTTTTTTTTCTGTGGCTAGCTGGCTAGCTGATTGATAGCCAGCTAGCTGACTGTAGTCTTTATTTGCAGACTAGTTCATGACGTTAGCTCGCCTTATCTGGCACATACTGTACATACGCGATATGCCTGGAGCGAATGTGATTGTGCCAAACATCGGATCAGAATATATATATATATATTAGGAGTTGTTATTCTAAGGCTAATAGTTTCCTGTTAAGTTACTCATACTTTGTGAGCTAACGTTAGCATGACAGTAGATTCTCCAAAGTTAGTTATCCAGTGTTTAACAGCATCAGAGTTTGTGTTTGAAATACCAACAAGGTGTTGTTGTCAGGCTGACAGATAGTTTGAAAGTGTGAGCAATCTGCTCCTCTGTAACCCAACGATCCGTGCTCTTGTTTACTGAACTTATGTAATGTGAAAAGACAAAAACGTGTGTTTCCTCTGACTTTTAAAGGTGTTGCCATGTTTTATATAAGGTGTTTCTTTGGTCATGCACAACAACTGACTTTAGACACAGGTAAACACAGGCCTGACATGAGGCACACTGCTATTTAATACAGCAGTGCTACAGCTGAGTAGCGGCCCTTCTATAAATACCAGACGAGAACAATATACACTTGCACTGTAACAGTCCCTGACTGGCAAATGTAGAGCATTTTGAGCACAATGTGTCACAAGGCTTACATACTTGGCCTTAGCGAATAGCTGATGGGAATCCCTGTCAATAAAGGTTAAGTTAGGCCCCGTTGTCTTCCATTCCCCCTGCTGTGCCTTGGCCTCAAAGAGGAATGTTCAAACATGACTTTATTTGTTTCAGTGGCTGATGAAGGTTTTCTGTACAATTGCCCATTGTGTTTCAGGGTCATGAGTGTGTGTCCTGCTGTCTCTCAGCTATAAACAGTGTTTTTGCAGCTCAGCCTGCCTCTTACTGTATGTAGTAGTGCCACATGGGGAGGGAATCACTTAGAGGAAGCTGTCACTTGCAGCAACTTTTGGCTGGCTCTGAAACATACTAGTTTGTGTTCTTAATCATCGTTCTCTTACTGTCTCTCTCTCTCTCTTTCACACACATACCTTTCACTCATGCGTACACACAAACATTGACCTTTGAAAAGCAAGAAAGCAGCTGTGGGGAAGTAGGAGTCGTAGCCTGCCGCCACTGTGTGAATCTAGTGTAGAGAGTTGAACAGCTCCTGTGTGTTGTTGACTTAAAGGAGAGCTAGGTTAAAGATTATTATTCACATAACAGCCTTCACTCTCTGCAGGAAAATTCAAAGCACAATCTCTCTCTTATTATGTAGGCTAAACGACGCAGTTATCACACATGTGGGGACCTAAATTAACCTGGCAGATAAAAATGAAGCTTCTCCGGCCTCCTGTCGTCATACACTTTCATTTTAAATGTGTTTTCTGTATCTCGGTTGGGTTCATTTTGATCTAAACAGAAGACTTGGAACAAAACAAGCCTGTGATAGCTAATAAACCACCATAAACAATAACGATGTGAGCATCCACACTGACGAACGATGCCGTTATCGTTCTTGCTGTGGACGGCCCCTCAGTCTTGTTTTCTGTTACTGAAGTTACCGAGGTTATTACTTTTTTGCCCCGTTTTGTGGAGCTGGGGTTTGCGTTGAAGGGGGTCTTCAGTCCTGTTCATGTACGCAAACATCACCACTGACATGATGGTCTTATCACAGATGTATCCCAGCTCTGACACTGTGTATGGGGGAGTGTCCTTGTTGGTGTTTCAGTTGTTACGTGTGTGAAATTAGAGAACCTTAATACTCACTGTATAAGCCCAGTTTTCTAAGGTCTGTCCCTGAAGAAGCTTTGGCATTCATGCAGACACACACACACACACACGCACACACATGCACCAGAAAATATAAAGAGCATTGTCTAGCAGTAAGCAGGGTGCTAACTGTTTTGTAAGCAAATCCACCCCTACACTAACACTGCTGGCTTCTCTTTCTACAGAAGCAGCACATTGGACAGTATAAGCAACCAGTCGCACACCATGAAACACAAAAAACTGGCGCAAACCTAAGACACAAGGTCAAATACTATTGTGCAAATAGGACTTTTAAACTCAGAGTTCTGCTTTTATTGCCTGGGCATGTGATGCTCCTACGTATTTAATGTTTATTATCTGTTGGAAGAATTGCTGTTTCAGACCGTATACTGTACGTAATGGTGAGTAGTTGATGACTTTCTGCCCGTGTGCGTGTCCGGATAATTCCTTTTCTTTTGTAAGCAGCTGAGCCAGGCTGTATGATTCAGTGCATTTTAAAGTGTATGCTCCATAACACTTACTTGACACTATCTTTTGCAGGGAGTTGTTGTGTGTGACTAATGTGCTGACAGTCCGTACATGTCCACAAGTCTTTCATGCATCAGTTTGTCACATCGTATCTCTGTACACTGTTGGTTGTCTTCATAAGGCGTTTGAGAGGAGGAGACACGTTTACACTCGCTTAGCCATCTGCCATGCATTATCAGACATACCGTAAAACTTCCAAAAAAAGCAGAAAGCAGGCTCCCTAATAGACACAGGACTTCTTTAAAAGCCTGGTGCAGCTACACGTTTTGATAAATAAACGCAGGTCTCCAATAAAGGCCTGTATAAATGTATAAAACATCTTAAAACCCACCTTGTCGCCCCCTAGAGCGAGTTTTAAGTCGTTTAGATCGCCTACACAAATATAAATGTTTAAACTTTTGTCAAAGTGGATGCTGCACATCGTTTAATGGAAACTGCGAACACCAAAGTATAACGTTAATACATTATTACATTATAATACAAGAAAGACGGAAAAAAAAACGATCGTAAAGTCGTGCGTTCCATGTCCGTCCCTCCATTATTTATTTTCCTTTAGTCCGTAAGGAGCCACTGGTCAAAAGAATCAAAGGATTTCCTTAAAATGAATCAGAGTTCAGTGAATATCATCCTGTGAAGTCGTGGCTCACTGATTGTACGCCGGCTGTGTCATGGCGCTGGCATAGAGGAAAAAAGCACCAACTGAAATTTACTGTAATTTGTCAGATTTACTTAACAGAACTCAAGAGAAGCAGTACAATTAGAGAGGATTTGTTAAACGCCTGTCCCACATAGACGCTCGTCCCACTACAGGCAGGGGGAGTTCAGTGATTTAAGCAAATAAACGCCCGGCCTATTATTAAAAGAAGTTTAAATGTCTGAAGCTCTGGTGTGGTGCTTGTAGTATGCCAGTAATTCAAACTTAATCAAGATTGCATTTAATCATGTACCTCATTATTAAGTGGTTCCTGTTGAGTAAAAATATTTTTCTCTTCTTCCAGTCTTTTTCTCTTCTATATTTTCAATTCATTCTCTTTATTCAGTTGTGTCCCAGAGTCGACTAGTCATTCATCCACAGTCATACTTAAGGTAATTTAATGACTTCAATAGGGATGGCTCAAGCTGATCTGCCAGATCGATGTTTACAAAACGAACTATATTCAGAAATTGCTGAAAGACACTTTATTTCCCATTAAGGGAAAGCTGTGATGGAGTGTGTTTTTCTAAAAGGAGAGCTTCTCAATTAGTGGCTGTAGTTCTCCAGTATATTTGACCTAGATATCCTTAAAGTGTGGAGGTTGTAGCTGGCACAATGTAAGAAAGTATTATGTTGTCATAGAAAGGGATCAAAGGGGGAAAAGCTTGATTAGGATGTCCCTTGTCTGCAGCGCACCTGACTTGTATGTTAGTAGTCAGAGTACATTGGAGCACCCAGAGGAAATCCAGACTGATGCAGGCAGAGCATAAAAAACTGATCTAAAAAGTGCGGGGGCCAGCAATTGATCTGGTCCTTCTTGTTGGAAGACACGCTACTAATCACTGAGCCACTCTGGGTTTCAGTGCTGCTGCACTTCACGAGGAATCCCCTGCAAAAGGAAACCCAACACCGATTTTCTTCTGATAGAATAATACAAAATGATCCCAGTTGAATTTTAGTGACAGAAGTCAGTACAATGGCTTCAAAAAACTCATTTTGATTTTCCCTTCAGACATCATATTCATTCAACTTCAACTTTCACTCAGTATCTTCTCCCTGGTCACTGTTTTCATGATTCCTTTGTAAAGACCCTTGAGATGGATGTTAGCCTGTGAACCAGACCAGTCTGTGAGCTCATGTTTTATTTGCTCTGGCAGATGCGTCTAGTAACCCAGCATCTGGTCGGCCTCTCGTTCAGCCAGATTTCCAGGCAACCCGGCCTGTGTCAGGCAACCTTATCGCACTTGGGCTGGGTTTGTTATGTTGACTGTAAAGAGAAGGGCATTTTTGTACACAACCAAGGTGGCTGCCGCTGTTGTTCAGCGTCCTGTTAAATCTGCTGTCGGTACTAAATGACCTTGTTGCTATATCTTCTCTAAAAGAAGAACAACTGCATTTAGAGCTTTTGGTGATAAGAAAGATGTGTTTGCCACACTGCTGAGGATTCGCCAAACGTCCCATGTTTGGTTGCTCTGATTGATTGTAGCTCTATCTCATTGCGTCCGTAGACATTTTGTTCCGTGCCCGCTGATAACGCCCCTTGGAAATGAACTGAAAGGTCCCAGACTAATTTGCATTTGTGAATTGGTGAGGCGATGTCAGGCTAGAGTGATGGATGATGACCGCTGTAGACTGTTTCCTCTGTTACAGCTGTCACTTACCTGCTCTGTATGGAGGGCTGTTGAGCAGTGTCAACCTTTCCCTTATTGTCCGGATTGGTTGTTTTCTCTCAGTGATTGATTCCATTACTGTGTGGTTCCCTCATTATGTCTCCCCATAGCTATATATTAAGATTAGAAATCAATATTTCATGGTAGCACAGTTGACAATTGTCAGTCCAACAGCTTGTTAATAAGCTTTGTATGGTTTGTCCTATATGTAGCTTATTATTTTTGTAAAAACATTGACCATGACAGTTTATTTAATTTTTTTTAATAAATTCCAAAACTATAAACGGGTTATTTTAGGCATATTTAGATAAAATGGACATTTGAATCTTTCATAAGGTTCTGTTTGACTTTGAAACTGGTTTGATAAGCTTTTTTAAAAAAAGGACTTTAACTTGGAGCTTTTACTTTGAAATGGCTGATTGACCTAGCAGATCATTGGTGAACTCACCTGGTATGAAACTTTGAGAGTAGCAAGATAGCAGACGCAGCTTTGCCTGGCACTGTGCTGCTGACTTGGGTCTTTTTTTGTCTCCATCTGCCCTGTAGCCTGCACACTGATCACACTGACTTAATACTGGCATGGACTATCCCTATCTTCTTAATTGGGTTCCTCCTAAGCTGCTTAAAAGCTGCCTGCTCTAACTTGGGGTCTGTGTTGTGTGATCAGCCGGTCTATGTGTCAGCCTGGTGCTGTGAGCATTTAATCATATCAAAAAAACACTTGGCCCTAATTGGAGCCTTGGTACAGGGTCAGGAAATAGTGGGCGTAGTGACTTGTAGTGACTCTGGAGCTGAGACAATTAAATGGCATGTTGTATTCCCCTTGTTGTCTGGTTTCGTTCTCTTGGTTGCTGTGGAGGAGGCTGTTCTGCCTGGTGTTTCTGAGATCAATTGTAATTACCTAGACAGCTTGCATGCATCTTCATTTCTTGGCTGACTATGATGTTCAAGCATGATTAAGGTTTCTCAGTAACACTTGCATGCTGTACACAGTATAAAGGGTTTTCTGTATAGATAATAATAGTACAGTACAGGATAATATTGTACTTTAAATGAGTTTTTTCCCTCTTAGCACTGATGGAAAAAATAGTTGATGACAACACAATTGTGTTTGTCCATTTAATGTGACTTTTAGGCTTCTACAATATCAAATTGGCACTCTTTTGCATATTATTAAATAATAACAATATAAATGAAAGAGACGCTATTATAAGGCAGAACATTATTTACATTTACATTTAGTTTACTGTAGATTGTGTGTGTAGGTCATCTAATGGAAATGTTTTGATATAGATATCACAAACCACTTCTGAACCAAGAAGTAGGAATTTGTTATAGGGCTGCACAATTAATCACAATATTATCAAAATCACAGTATGGACAGGTGCAATATCCAAATGGCTTGTGTTGATAAAGGTAAGATGTGTCAAAACAGCATTATAATCAAATATACTCAAGTTCTGCAGCGATTCCCTGACCTACAAATGTAATCTTGTTCTCCAGATTTAAGAAACATTTTTGTTTTATTTGTTTGTAGAGACCTCAACAAATGTCACATCATCGCAATTTTTATATTTTGTTCTGATGAAACTAGTTGTTAATGAAAATTGTGATGCAAAAATCTGAATTCCTACTAATCATGAATCATATTGCAACTGCATTATCTGACAAAAGGTTTCGCAATATGATTATTTTACTCACAAATGTGACTGACCATTAAAAACGACAGCAGTAACATATATATAATAGTAAAATGTGTGAGTGGGGAAGGCAGCTCTGAGGCACACAGAGTTTTAAAGTGGACCACTGATACAATAAGAATGAAACATTTGTACGTGTAACTGGTGACCAGTTGTCTTGTAACTATATGGAACTGAAAAAAGCAACAGGGGCTTTTTCACAGAATATCATATTTACTTCTCCATATTGGGAAACAACAGATATATCTTGCAGCATATAGAGAAATGTGTTTTACACGTACAGTAAGTAATACATTGGTGTCTTTATCAGAGGTCAAACTTCAAACTGCTGAAGTTTGTACAAGCTGTTCTGAGCTTTATCCTTAAACGTAGCTCTTTTCTGTTTCAGAGGAATCATGGGACACGGAGTGGGCTGAACCAGAGGGTCTAGCAGCACACCAATTGTGAGTATTGATTGTTTTTCCAGCATTATGTCTATGTAGCATTATAATATAGGGAACAATTACAATATTATGTAAATAATATAATATTACACTGAATGTAGATAAATATCGACCTCTACCACAAAACCTCAACAAAATGTTCAGAATATGCTGAAGCAGCTTCTACAATTTCTCATCTGTATTTTTATTGGGACCCTGCAGAGTTCACCTGTTTCTTATTTGTGAATTTACTGGGTATGTGTCTTGTGTCTTTGGTGTTTGCTCGGTTTGTCTCTCTGTCTGTGTGTGTGTGTGTGTGTGTGTGTGTGTGTGTATGGTTTTAAAGGTTTCCCACTGTGGTGTATGACATGGCCACGGCCTCATCTAGAACAGAGTCTAGCCATAACCACAGAGGAACGTCACAGCTCCATGCCATTGGTGAGTTGAAACACAGAAGGCTGTAATGTTGGGGAGGGGCAGGGCGATCCCAGGTTCTAGACCCTGTCGCTCCCTCAGAAAGCTCACATCGAAGCACTGTGTCAGCAGGATTTCCTGTGTGAAAGGAAAATGTTTCTCCCTCAAGGATCAATAATTTATGACCTTATTTAATCTGAATATCTGAATATGAGTGTCAGCTATGTGTTGAAAATATAAATGTTGAAAGTAAAGATTTTCCCTAGTCTCATCACTTCCTATATGTACCCACCGCCAGTGTCCTGTGCCAAGATCAAGAGGAAGAAGAGCCTGTTTGGGACTGCCATTTATGTGGAGGTGACAGCGGAGGGGGAGTCGCGCCGTACAGCGAAGTCTCACAGCTCCTCCAGTCCTAAATGGGATGAGAGGCTTACTCTGTAAGAAGCAACTATTTGCCTCCTCTGTGTATCTGACAGCTATTTACCTTAATGCCAGTTTCTTGGTCTTTACACGCCTCTTTTTCCCCTTTTAACATCTGTGTGTGTAATATGTATTAACTCAAGTTCTCTATACACGTGTTCATGTTTTATGTGCCTTATCAAGTAATTCAGGGAGACAACTCATGAATACCAGGTACTTTATAATATGGAGAAGATAAAATGAGAGACAGACTGTAATGATTTCTGTGTTGAGACTACCACAGACATTTGTCTTCTCATACCCCCCTACACATGTTGATCTCCAAATGGCCCAGGCTTTTAAAAAAACTGTTGAGAGAGAGAAAAATGGGTCTGTTCTCCCTTCTAGGAGGTATTTTAGTATGTTGGCTTTGGTGCAGGAATTTGGGGTCTATGTCTGTCTGACAGTGTATACCTTATGTAACTAAATATAATTCAAAATATAATGACAAAATCCCTCAGGTGGCTCATCTGATAATTATTAGAACAAGGGAAAAAGCTGTACGAGAACACACAGAGCTCTTTGTATCATTTGAGACACTAGTAGAGCCAGCAGCCTGAACATTGCAGACTTTTACAGCTCTCTGGCTTCGGAGTGGCTCGGCCACATGCCAGAGACATGTCATTGCAATTGCTAATTGTCTTGATTGGGTAATTATTGGTAATAAGACAGAGTGGTGCTGTGTTTGTAATCCTGTGTTTGCACCATGGATGTTTTGCAAGCTGAATCCTACACATTGCCTTTGGGCTATGATCCTAGATATTTCTCTTATTAGGCATTGATGGACTCGGCCCGTATTATAAGAGACTGTGTAGTGTTCATTTTGTATAAGAGCAGAAAACAGAAGGAAGCAGCATTAAGTACATCAATCTCTCACCCTGCAGCAAGGACAAGTTGCTCTTGAGATTGTGAGATTTTTTGAGGGGGAGCAGACGAGGAAAAATAGGGAAACTGGAAAAATGAGGAGCATCTAAATAATAGTTGTCACCTCATTTAATCAGCTTCACACCAACTCCCAAACCATTCTTGGTAAGAATTCCCACAAACTGACTTGTAATAAAATGTAAAACACTTTAAAAATATATATCGTCTGTATCAGCATCCATCGAATGCTTTGTCTAGGTCATGTAGTCTCCTGTCCTCAGTTCCTGCTACTACTAACAGTTAATGCACTCAAACACCGACATATTGTCAAGAAGAAAACTGAATAACACAAATGTCAGTAATGCTTCATCATAAGACTCGGACCTGTTGATACAACAACTGCAGCTTGCGCTCATCTCTACAGGGTAGGCACAGCTGAAAATGTAATGGCACATTGTAGCAGGGCTCAAGCACTGGTTTCTTAAATCCTGTATCTTCTAAGACTGAGTATGATTGCATATCAGCAGCAAACCCTCTGTAGCAGTAGTTACTACTAGTTTGGCGCAGTCCGCATCTGCAGTAAGGCTGCCAGTCTGTTTTTGTCTTATTCCGCTTATCGTCATATTCATGTAAATGACACGTTTGAAGTTTCCACAGACATACCTGACTTCAGTTGAACAATGTTGGCGTGCAGTTTAACACTTAATACTGACTAGCCGACTAGCATGCTACAGCTGATGCACTGCAAAAACTTCCCGGGTAGAACTAGACTATTTTGACAGCAATTGTTTGGGTCAAAGAGGGTACTGAACTAGGGCAGTAGCATACCGAACTGAACATCATCTGATCTGTGTGTGTGGAAAAAGATCCTTTGTGCTGAGTGAATCTACTCTGGATTTGAAAAAAGGTTAAAAACACTACTGATTGAGCACAGAGGCACTAAATACGTGCCAGTTAGAAATATCTGTATCTTTTTTACTCTGTATATAACTGCAGCAAAAAAAGGAACATGTCTGTGATGAACTTGAAAGTGTTTTGCTTTTTTCAATGATGTCTTTTTTACTGATGATTTGTGTCATTTGTGTTACAAGTTGTTTTAAGCATGTTTGTTTGTGTGTTCCTGACCTAGGAATGTAACACCGCACACACAGGTGGATTTCAAAGTATGGAGTCACCACACTCTGAAGGCCGATGCTCTGCTGGGGAAAGCAACGCTAGACCTAATTCAAGCCTTGGAGCAGCATGACAGAAAATGTACGGTTAAGCTATCACACACACAGACCCATATTATAATACAAGGTGTAGGGTGGCATGTGTTCATTATTTAACAAATACAGTTGTGGCACAGTTACTGCAGTACCAGGCAACAGCAGATTTATGAAGGCACTGTTTATTTAGACTAGCCGCAGCTGATCAATGTGTCTTTTTCAACATTGTAAATGAAGCATTTCTATGGAAGTGGTTTGCTTTATGTTTTTCTTGCTGTCACTTTATTGTAATGCCTCTTTGACTCTGCAGTGGAGAATGTGAAGGAGGTGCTGAAACTGAGCGTGGAGCAGAAGGGAGCTCTGGTTCCCGTAGGGGAACTGACTGTTTACCTAGATGGCCTGACTGTCACTGACCAAGAGGAACTGGCTCCGCTTACAAACGGCAATGCAGCAAATGGCACCAGTGAGCTTTAGTTTTTTGTTTCTTGACCTTTCAGCATTATCACAGGTTCATAGACAATTGTCATTAAATATACTCAGTTATTTTACTGTTAAAATAAAACGGCAATACTAAATAGACCATAGAATTTAAAATAATAGATAAAGAGTTATTAGGTAATCCCAAATAAAAAATGTGAAATGATCCAAGTTAAAAATAAATATTGTACATCACTAGTCTGAAATCTTATATTCTTTGTATGTTATGGGTATGTCATTTGTTTTCTACGATTCTTTCCAGAAGTCCAACAGAATGGCGATGCCATCCATGAAAATGGAGACTCATCTTCCTCTTCCTCAAGGGCTGCCAACAGGTAAACTAACTAAACAAACAGCCATTTTGGAGCATTTTTATCTTGCTCCACATATTTCATAAGGCAGAAGATTCTGTCTACTTCACGTTTCCTAAAATGGTTGTTGGCCTGGTTAGAATAACTCTTTGAAAGCAAGGAGCATGCTTATCCTCAAGTAAAGGAATGCTAACAGACCACAAATAGTTGTGTGTTAGTACAGTTTCCCCACAGTGTGCCCTGTAGGAAGACATGAATGCATATTTTACATGATTATTGATACTCATATGCTATTGTTTTGCGCTAGCTGATGTAGAGGCTTTTATTTATTCATTTTATTACCTCAGTCAGGGTCTTGTCCGTCTGTGTCTTGCTCTTTTTTTTTTATTCTGGCTATACCCTTCTCCTGCTTTTAATTTTTAGTGTTGCCCTACTAGTACCAGTCTTTATTATCTATCACGCAATAAACTGCCCTTCAGTGAGGCTAACAGAGTTTTTTTGGGAAACCATGTCTGCTCAGCACAACAGACGGAGGTTGGTGGGAGGGGGGTTGAGAGGGTTCTGGCTGTCTGGCTCCTCTCTGCATTGCAGTTGCAGAGAGGACTGCAAGACACAAACAAGGGTATGGTTAAAATTTAGTGGTGTTCCCCCTCCCTGGGAGTTCCCGAAATGTTTGAGTACTCAGATTTCCAGATAGAAAAGGTAGCCAGGGAAATATTTGTGGTAGCAAGACAAAATTTTGCCGTATTGTTGCTATCGAGAAAATGAAACCTTAAACATGTGTTTATTAAAGTAAGACAATTAACATAGTACTCATTTTGTTTCAAAAACAAAAGGTTAGCTCTTAAGAAGAAGGAAGCCATAAACAATTTCTTTAAAAAATTTGAATAATAAAAAAATCATATAAAGTTAATCTAATATTAAATCATATATATTACAGGGCGCCTCTCCATCAATCAACTTTTGATTCAGATATTTATTGTAGATATTTCTGCAGGCAGAGTGAAAGCACGATTAATACAAAATGCTGCAAAAAAAAAAAAAAACAGCATTAGTCAGTGTCCAAACTGAAAAAAATGAAAATTTAGTTTTGGATCTGAAACATTTCTCTATAACATTATATTTATCATGACTAAATAAGCAACAATCAAAGTTAATGTTGTGACTTTGCTGTTTGGTCAGGTTTGACTGACAGCCACTGCTGGCTGCAAAAGTAAACAACCCCACAACTGTCAACACATTTTTTGTCAAAAGTTGCTTAGCTGTAATTGGTGCACAGAAGTATGTGACATCACGTTTTTCCAATTGAGCACCGCCCACTTCAAACCAGTGAAAAGAGTAAAAAAAATAAATGAAACAAGGTGGGTAGTCTGTCAAATAGTTGCTCAGTGTGTTGCCGAACAGTCCTGCACCCAGAAACCAGCTGTGTTAGCCAGTAAAATGGAATGACTTGGAGAATGCACTGTGCTAATTGTGCTGTTGTGTTGCAATCCTGGAGGCAGAGGAGAAAATGATTGATGGTGTGATAACTCTCTAGAGTTGTTACTATCCGCCTTGCAAGGGTATGAACTGCTGTGTATGGTGTCTGATCAGCCTTTTTTTAAGTGATAGTTTCTGTCTGTACTTGGCCTTAGCCTCCCTGCTCCTTCCCCATAATGTGACGTAATTTGCTGCATATTAAAAGTCAGCCAAACAGAGGTGAGCAGTCAGCTGTTAAACTAGGAGTCGATGCTTGAGGAACCCTCTGCTCTACTTCTTTTCCTTTGTCTTTCTTTGTCTCTTCTCAGTGGTCTTACGTCAGTGCTCTGCTTAACATTCTGGCAGTCTTCACTCCATTGCCCATCTTCTCATTCATGTTCACCTCTTTCAACCTACGTTACTTTATGTATTTTTCTCTTGTGAAATCTCTGTATTTCCTGAGCCTTACTTACCTTACCTGTGCCTTGATTCATCTTTACTCTGTTTAGCTTTGATTCTTTCCTTCCATTTTGGTTAGCTTGTGTTTCTACTTATCTTTAGAGAGTCAGTAGACCTTTCCTGTGGAGCAAGAGGCGCCAGTTCTCAGCCTGTCAAAACACTTGATACTGGCCTCCATGCTGGCTACAGGAGTACGATGTTGTATTTGTTTTAAACTGTGCATGTTCCTACTTACATAATTTCAGTAATTGCTTTTCTGTTTTTTGTGTGTACCCATTTTTTCTCTGTGCATCAGATTTCAATACTACAACACCAATAAGTCCAGTAAACCGGTGTAGTCTTTGTTGTCAACCTATATATATATATATATATATATATATATATATTTAAACATTAGTCTATTAATAAAATTAAAGTAAATTAAAGTATTATAATGGATAAAGACGAACATATAAGCACCATTAGAGGGATTGCCAGCCTCTGCTGGGCTCGACACTGAAATTTAAACCGGGCCAGATATGGTGGGAAACTTTCTGTGCAATGTGTCTTATCGGACATTTTGTATTAAGTATATGGTAGCTGTTACCATTTGCGGATATGCTGAGTAATAAAATCAACATTCATTGTTGTCAACCCTCGTGACCCTTTCTGAAGTTTTTTCTTTATTGGTGGCTTCCAACCCACCTCTTGCCTAGACAAAGCCTGGACTTTGAGTCATATAGCTGATTTTGTATTGGTCGCAGTGTGGGAACGTCTGTGGCACCAACTGAACTCTGCCGGCTCACAAAAGGGCCTCTTCAGCTGTACCCATTACGTCAGTACGCCATCCTATTATGTCCTGTCCTTACCCCTACGAGACAATAGTCTCAATGTCACAAGTCTTTTATCTGACACCCGCACACAGAGTGGAAGTAGCACACATTTAGCTCACCCTCGCTAAGCTGTGTAAATTTAATTTGTTTTGAGCCTGTAGGAAAAATAAAAGTTGTTTTACATTACATTATATTACATATGAATTATATCTTGAGTGTTATGTAGGTCTAGAATTTGTTAGTATTAAGGAATTGTTATGTGTTTCCTCCTAAAGCTCAGTGAATGGTACAGACTTGGGCCCAAGGTCAGGTTCCTGTTCGGCCTCCAACGGTCTGGATGCTCAGGTGCCTTCCAGTTCCTGCAGCCCTGCCCTTAGTCATGTCGTCAATGGAGACACCACACCCAATAACACCCCGGTCCACCAACCCTCAGACAGTGACACAGAGAGTAGAACGGGTGAGTTTGACCTTTTAGTTTGAATTTCACAGTGTTTGAATTCTAGTACCTTGGAAGGTTTGAAATAGTCCTACTTTTGCTCCCAGGTTTGTATATTTAGTTTGCAGCCTTTTCAGTACTATAAAACCCTGCAGTCTTCCAAGATGTGTTATTCAGATATTTTCTCATTTCTCATGTATGTGCATAATTCCCTATGATACACTATATTTACTGATAGAGTAATGCAAATTAGCATTGATTATACATGTGTATCTTTCCAGCAGGTATTCATTGTGTTGCCTGGGCAGTTTAAGTTCTTCATGGTTCACTTGATCCGAGTGAACAGTAGAGGAGATCAGTAAATTCATTTTCATTAAGTGAGGCTGGTAATCTCTGCTGCTGTCAGCACCTTTGTGGGAAAACTCCCTGGAGAGATAAACAGAAAGAAAAGGAAAGCAGACTGCAGTATACTGTGGAGGGTATGCAGGGCACCAATAGCATGCTGATTACACTGAGAATATTCATTCTTTACTAGTATAGTAGTACTATTTTTTTTAAAATATATATATCCAATAAGTTAGGGCTTTTGCTTAAAAAAATCCAGTTGGGGGCGCCTGGTTAGCTCAGTCGGTAGAGCTCGATCGAGTTGCTGCAGCGGCCCGGGTTCGAATCCGACCTGGGGCCCTTTGCTACGTGTCATCCCCTCTCTCTCTCTACCCCCATTTCCTGTCGATCTTCAGCTGTCTCTATCAAATAAAGGCATGAAAAGGCCAAAAAACTAACTTAAAAAAAAAAAAAAACTACTACCTCACTTGAGTAACAGCCTAACAGCTAGCACTGTTGTGTGAACATTAATGTGTCATTTCTAAAAGGCAGCAAACAGCCCAACCTTTATCCATCTATGATTTCAAGTCCAACATACCGCTCAAACAAAAGAACGCTCAACTCAAACGTTGTAATGTTGTAAACTAGGTGCCATGATAACCAGATATACAGTGTTGTTCACTGCACCTGTATGTTCTCATAATGTTATGGTTGATCACTGATCATTTAAAAGGCAGCTCTCTTCCTGAGACGTCACTGACATCCAGCCATGGATGGATGAAGTGTTTAGTCCATGCTTGTAAACAGCACCATTGTCTTTCTCTCACTTGCCTGCAGTCAATGGGGAGTCCTGTGATACTGCTCTGGGGCCATCGTCTGCTACAACAGGTGACGTGCTGCCCCCTGCAGATGACCATGAGGACTGCAATCAAGATACCACCCTCCCAGACTCTGACACAGCACCAAATAGCACATCTCAAACCCAGCCAACCTCCACCACGGCTTCCAAAAAGCCTCCTCTTCTTTTGCTGCTAAGCCACTGCATGCGCTGCTTTGCTGCCTGCCTGGCCTGACTGGGAGCCACCACCATCACCACCTCCTCGCCATCATCCTCTTCCTCCCCAGCAATAGGAGAAGCAAATGCTTCAGGAGGTAGTGGTGCTGGTGGTGCTGGTGGTGCTGGTGGTGGCAATGGTGGTGGCGGTGGTGGTAACAGCAGTAACAGTGCATCGGTAACAACAGATGGGGCCAAGCCCAGGCAGCAGGTCCCCAATGCTGGAGGCTCAGATCCTCTACCACCAGGGTAAAATGTTTTTCATGTTTGTCATGATTTTCATTACTTTTTTTTAATCAAATCTGTATTAGATTATGAGGTAATTAGTTTATGTGTATGCCACCTAAAACACACACTCAATTCATAATGAGCAAAATCTGTTGTACATTTTATTTCTATTCATCTCCATCCTTTTGCACAATTTTTTGTTTTGTTTTGTTTTACAGCCTGCTTTTTTTCTCAATTGTTTTGTCTTCAAGGTGGGAGCAGAGAAAAGACCCTCATGGGAGAACGTACTATGTTGACCACAACACAAGGACTACTACCTGGGAAAGACCACAGCCATTACCACCAGGGTGAGTGTCTCACTTTCTGTCTTCAGCCCTTTTCAGACATGGAATTTGTAACTTTACCAGGTTCATCTGTTGAGCCTTTTTAGCTTTTACACATGGGTCTCCATAACGCCCTCTTTACACCTGACGGCTTTCATCTATGTCTGCAGCTAAACACAGATTTATACACATATTTACATATTAAAGCAACTGATACTACATAATGGACACCTCAGGGTATATTTTTTTCACCTGTGCCAAGTAGGCCTGTCACAGTAATTATGTTATCGTACAATATATGGACATGGCAACAATAATGTCTGCTTACCTTGATATTATACCACTGTGTTCACATGCGTGTTTGTATGTAAGAATATGTTTTTCCTACAATTACAAAGCTTAGGGGCTTTTTCCCAGTTCTAAAAAAAAAAACTACACTGAGACATGTTTGGCTGCTACTTCTGGTCACCCTGTTTGTAAATCCCAAGCAAAGAAAGTGAAAGATGACATTCTGAAGGAAAGATCATATATGACCCCCTAAATTGCATTATTATGCTAATTTTATAATTATATCAGTGGTATAAAATCATTAAAGAAGCTATTGTGACAGGCCTAATGCGAAGTCTACTTAAATAAAGGGTGTAGTTTTATGTTTAAAGTTTGTTTGAGGTTAGTTTAACTGATTAGGTCAGTTTCAGTGAGAGCTGATTTCTGGTAACACATCATCAAACACAAGTATTGTTTATATGATTGGTTGTTGATCATTTACAGTTATACAGATTTCATTAATTGTGTTCCGTTGGAAGTAGTTTCTTAGTAGTTTATTTTTTTTCTTAGTTTGAATTTAATTGCCTTTAAGTCAGTTCCAGGTATCAAAAATAAAAGACACATTAAGTGTTGTTATAAGTGTCCCGTGAATGTCCTGACTGGCTCATTCATTTGCTTACTGTTTTTTGTGTCTGTGTTTGTGATTATTGTACTGTCCATCTCCTTCACACTGCCAGTTGGGAGCGCCGAGTGGATGACCGGGGCAGGATCTATTATGTGGACCACAACACCCGCACCACCACGTGGCAGCGTCCCACTATGGAATCAGTCCGTAATTTTGAGCAGTGGCAGAGCCAGCGCAGCCAGCTGCAGGGAGCTATGCACCAGTTTAACCAGAGATACCTCTACTCTGTAAGACAATCCCCTTTAAAACATGTTTTTTACACCTATGAAATGAATGCGTTGCAGATTCAGTTTTCTTGTTTGATAATTTAATTTGCCAGCATTTTTACTTTTTTTTTTACTGTGGAATAAAACACACACACACACACACACACACCATACTGCACTTATTAACATTCAAGTAATGTAAACATCCCCCATTCAAAAGGGAGGTTACAAAATCAAAATGGCCATTGTGTCCTCCATTTGTAAATTAGTTCCAATAAGATGTTGAGTTCTGCTGGCAAAAGTCCAAAAACATTTGCACTCTTCTTAATTAATGCTCTCTTTCTTTTAAACAAATACCTTGTGAATTTGTATGCTAATCAACAAGGATTATTATACTAGATTTTGGGGACCATGGATAATTGCTGTAAAACTGCAATCTTCTGGTCTTTTGCTCTGTAAACAATATGCATTATTGAATCACCTGACGACACCAGATGGATCTATCCAGCATTTAGCTTTTGTCAGCTCATCATCTTTTAAAGTGTGCATTTATCTCAGACCATTCCCCAGTACTCAACAGAAAATAGAGAAAACTAATTGTGGCTATGGCTCTTTTGAAGTCTTTTTGAAGATAACTGACTCACATGATTACTTTCTGGTGATCTGTGATGTAGGTGATCACTCTGCCTTTTCTTTGCAGTCTGTAATGGCTCAGATATTAGTTGTATCGTAGTCGTCCAGTGGACCTTTATCAAGAGCTCTGAAAAGGCTCCATTATCTTTTTTAGAGAATTTAAAAGGTCCCGGTTCTTGCATATCAAGCTTTTTAATGACAAATCACACATATTTGATATAACTACTGACTATTTTCTTAAGCATGTCTTGGGGTTTTCAACTTTTAAATGTGATTTTAATCCAAACATCAGTAATTGGCTTTCAGTTTATTACTATGCAGAATGCAGTGCAGTGTTTCCTATAAATCTGCACTTAAAACTGTATTAACTTAAAACTTCCAAGCTTTCAAGTTGTTGCAATTTGATTCTCATGCAATAGTGAAATGAATGGAAACCAATGACTGCACTGAAGGCGGTAAAAAGACGAGTCAAAAATTCAAAAGACTACAGCATGCTTTGAAAATGATTATGCTTAAAAATAAACTATATTTTTCCTCATGGTATTTTTTCATATCTCATAATTGGCAAGAGTAAACCAGTGGTGGTTACTAATTATGTAACCCGAAACTTAAGTCCTTCCCATCCTTTGCCTAATGAATCACATCTCTTTCACTGGGCAAATTTGATTTGCAACTCCACTCACTCAATCCACAGCTCAGTCCATTTAGCCTAAAGGTGAGAACTTTACCTTGTCAGAACTTGAAATATGCCCACCCCCAGCCTCTGCCCTAATCTGGTTATCTTTGATCTCAGCCGTGATGTCATCTTCACTGATGATGATTAGCTTAAAACACAAATGAAAAGACAGACAGCTGGGAAGTATTGAGCTGTAACCAGTCACTGAGGCCCTCTTGCCAGCAACATAGCAAAACTCAGTACTTCTTTTTTTGTTTTCATTTGAAATAGTTCCCATTTTCCCTCTCCTGTTGTGGAATATATTTTCCCCTTTTTTGTTTGAATGGTTTTTCTTTTATATCCTACATATTTGGAATATTTTTGACCAGACCAGTGTCTTCCTTGGGTTTTTCTAAATGGACATGTATGTGTGCATCCCTCGTTTTCAGGCATCCATGATGTCTGCTGAGAATGATCCTCTTGGCCCGCTACCTCCTGGTTGGGGTGAGTTCACATTCTTTCTTCTAAATACTGTACATATGTTCACTTTGCTGTCAGTATTTGCTATATTTAAATGGACAATAGATACAAACGGAAATGTGTCAATAGACATTGTACCTATTTTATGCCAAAATGGTCGTACAAAAGTACTTCATGATACTGATACCTCTTTCTTATGAAATCCTTCCCTCTACTGTCACTACTTGCTCTTCACAAAAATCACAGTCAGCAGCCAGTCAAAAAAGTCTGTTTAAAGCATGAGTCAGCATTGGTGATCATTTGTGTTGCCACATTGTGGGGCCGACTGTCCATTGTGTCTATTAAGCTACGGATTCTTTTCTGTGTTTTTATCAACTTTAGAGAGGCGTGTGGACTCCAATGATCGAGTGTACTTTGTCAACCATAACACCAAGACAACGCAGTGGGAAGACCCCCGAACCCAAGGGTGAGCTCAAGTGCCAAAAAAAAGAAAATTGAAGAAAGTGGATCTTATGCACATTAGAAAATATTTGAAATTGCATAATATATGGTACCTCATAACTCACAGAAGTCTGTATGAGTGCTGTAAAGTTGCTAACCTCTTGTTAATCTATTATTAAACAGGAAGAGAGAATGTAATATAATTAAGGATCTTTTTAAAGATTAAAGATTTAAGATTTAAAGATTTCTAATGTAAAAAGTCACCTAGGAGGTCAAACTGGTGTACCGAAAATAGTAGATTTTTTCCCACTTGCACCGGTGTTTACCAGTTCTATGGTGCTCTTACTAATACCATAATAATGTGGGCTTTCTCAGAAGGAAATTATACTTGATTATACTTGATTTCTGATCTGTCAAAAGGTAAATCAATCATGAGAGACATATCCATAGCAGTATTACGGTTTAAACCAAGAACTTTACTGTGATACTGTATTTTAAAACAAAAATTTGTAGTATTTTTCTCACACAAAATACAGCATTTTATAATCTACAGCAGTGATCCTCATTATTTTTTTTCACAAGAGCCACATTGGCAGAGAAAAATCAAGAGCAATGTTGATTCTCATTAATTTTTTTTTTCAACAAGAGCCACATTGCAGAGAAAAAATCAAAAGGGAGAAAGCCCACTTTACGACAAACAAACCAAAGTCCCCTTGCAAATGTCGTTCTAACATATTAGGCGTTTTTTTTGCATATTAAGCACAAGAAGTTCATCGATGAAGAAAACAAAATAAAGGAAATTTTGTCTATCACAATCTCTTGAAAAATTCCGCTGCTTTTTCATCTTGGCTATGCCTCGTACTTCGTTTTTTTAACTGCGGAAACACCCTCGTTTTTCCGCCCTTTCCTCGTCCCCTCTCCGGCGTCTCATGTTGATTTTTCGTTTGCTGCTTCCTCAAAATCTTTTTGCCTACCTATTTGTTTACAAACGCTTGTGTCTGTTCCCATTTCTGTTTTTGCTGGTTTGCCCTTTTTTTAATTAAGGAAAAACAAAAAATCATTTTTTGTGCCGCTCTTTCACGCTTGCTAGCGAGTAATTTAAACCTGCTGCAAGCGTGGCCACTGCCAAGTCAAAGTGTAAAAACAAATGGCCATAAAAGCGGCTCTTGCGTTTTCCAGCGTTTGAACAGTTGCCCCCTTCGGAAAAAGCACCATAATAAAGTAAAGCGAAGTTTTAGCAAAGATTGCGTTTTTTTATTTGAATGTTCACTGCATATTTATTTAAAGCACAATTTTAAAAATGTATTGCGCTGTCTACATATTGTTATAAAGCCTTTAACCCACGAGCCACCAATTAAAGCTCGGTGAGCATGTGGCTCGCGAGCAGCGCAATGAGTATCTCTGATCTACAGGAATAGGAAAACCTATTACAGGGCGTTTGTGGGCTCTTTAAACGTCTATAATCTCATAATCTCAATGTTGACAGACTTTAAAAAGTTAACCTTACTTGTATGAAGTTGCATGTTTCAGTATGGCTTTTAAATGTGTTTTTGGGAAAAAAATTGGTATTGATTATACTGTAACAACTACCAAACGAAACTGACATGGAACCAATGCCAATTTTACTTCATATCCTTTGTAATTGTTATTCCAGTGTGGATTTAAAATAGTTCTTAAATTGCATTCATAATGGGCCAAAAATGTCTTAAAAGTCTTAATTTTAACCTGGTGAAATCTGCAGAAGCCCTGTATTATCTTCAAAGTAATTTTAACTCCCATCGTTCAACCCATGATAACAACAGTTGATCTGTTGTTGAAGCTGCAACAGCTTGTTGTACAAAATGGGATTATGCAGTGAAATTACATAACTTTGATAGATTGTAACCAGTATTGCAATACAACCCTTCTATCTTGTACAGCCTATAAACATTGGTCCATCATGAAAATTCTCAAAATATGATATTGGAATTTTCTAAAATGTATATCATCTCACATTGCTAACATGTAGGATTTGTCACTAATGTTTTATGTAGTGACACAAGTTGCAGCTGGAAGCTTGCTCTAGTGTCCCTGGCCTGTCTAGATTTCATGGCAGCTTAGTTTGACAAAAACAAGTTCATAGCCAAGTATGGGGTAAAGTCCATGTGGAGTTGGAAGAGTTTTCACAGAGCTATGTTGGGTTAGGTTCAGTTCTTGTCCTTGGAAATGGCTATCATTTTCCATATGAATCAACCCATGCATATAATTGCTCTGTGTGTGCAGGCTACAGAATGAGGATCCTCTGCCTGAAGGTTGGGAGATCCGGTACACAAGGGAAGGAGTTCGCTACTTTGTGGATCACAACACCCGAACCACCACTTTTAGTGACCCCCGCACTGGGAAGTCCTCTGTGTAAGAATGCATTTTAAAATGATTTACTTGTTCATGTGTGCTATATTACATTACATGTTACCGAAGACCATGCCAGAGGCTGTGTTTTGGCTGTAGCCTGAGGAGCTGCAGCCGTGGGAACTTGTGCATAGTTTAAGGGAACATGTTTACTAGAACCAGATGTACATACAGCTCATGTGAGGTAAAGAAAAATATATGTTGATTCAGAAAACAACGCTTCCCACTGGTATTTAATTTCAAGGGTTGTATTTCACACAGGGACGTTCAGGGAATTTAATGCATTTTCTCAGAATGTTAAATTTGTACAAGAGCATATTTCACATGTGGCACATTTTTTCAGTATGAAATTATTCACCCCTGAAGAAAAATGCTTCTTTACCATTGCATGAAATTAAAGTTTAAATCATTTTGTTCTTCACAGCACCAAAGGTCCTCAGATTGCTTATGAACGCAGCTTCAGATGGAAGCTTGCCCATTTCCGTTACTTGTGCCAGGTAGGTGTTCTCTTTCTCTTACTCCATCATCCTGTTTCTTGCTCTCAGTCACTCATCATGATCTTACCTCCCCAAAATGCATTAATGTTTTCCTCTGTCTTTCCTCAGTCCAATGCTCTCCCTAGCCATGTGAAGATCACCGTCTCCAGACAGACGTTGTTTGAAGACTCTTTCCAGCAAGTAAGACGGTCCTTCTACCACTGTCTGAGTTCAATAAGTAATATAAGCAGCATGCACAGTAATGAATTTAATAATAGTAATGAAAAGTGCAGTGATGCATCACAGTCTACATGTGTGGTTTATTCCAGAGTTTTCTTCTGCTATACATTCAAAAATGCAATGCACGTCACTTGCTGATCTTGTGTATGTTTCTCTCTCTCTGTTAGATAATGGCTCTGAAGCCCTACGACTTGAGGAGGAGACTCTATGTTATCTTCAGAGGCGAGGAGGGTCTAGACTATGGCGGCTTAGCCCGGTAATATATACAATATACAATATGTAATATACATAATATATATCCATAGTGCAAACTAGGTTTTTGCAAAATGTAAGTAGTAGCTGATCATGTGCAACTCTTGTCTCCCCTTCTCTCATTTCACATCTTTTCCTCCTTTCATTTCCCCCTCATCTACACTCCGTTGCCTTTGTCCTCTCTCTTGCTTCTGTCTCACCTCACTTTACAGAGAGTGGTTCTTCTTGTTGTCCCATGAAGTGCTGAACCCCATGTACTGTCTGTTCGAGTACGCCGGCAAGAGCAATTACTGCCTGCAGATCAACCCGGCCTCGGCTATCAACCCGGACCACCTCTCCTACTTCTGCTTCATAGGCCGCTTCATTGCAATGGCAAGTTCACATGCAAACAGTCCTGGTAACATTAACACCTAGTGAAATAGGCTGACATTTTTATCGTAATTATGTTGACTAAAATGATCAAACCAGACTGTGCACAATCTATTCATAGCTTCAGATTGTTATTTTCTCCAGTACACCATGCTGTATTCAGTAAATGTTTTCAGCTATCATGCTTTCATCTGATGAGTAGTTAGCGGCGCAGTAATAACAATTTAATTTCTCTTTTTATTTGTCTCTTGCTGCAGGCACTTTTCCACGGCAAGTTCATCGACACAGGCTTCTCTCTGCCTTTCTATAAACGCATGCTGAACAAGAAGCTAATACTCAAAGACCTGGAGTCCATCGACCCAGAGTTCTACAACTCACTTATATGGATCAGGTAATTTGTGTCTTCAGTCTATACAGCCCTCAGAATGTAATTGTGTATTCTTTTGACAGCAGAAAGCATGGTTTGGTTTATCGCTCCACTTGCATTTTCAACTAATACTTATTACCAACTACAGTATTTCTTCCTGAGCGGTGTGTTGTGTATGGTAATGCCAAATAACACTCCAACACTGTCCAATGAATAAGATACATGAACTTCCATATGTTTTCACCCTTTGTATGAAGTCCAAAAGGCCACTTTGTATCATCATTTTCTTTGGTCGGGGCCATAGGAACCAAACTGCATGTGTGAAAAACACCTGTAGGCGAAACAAGTCCCTTGTGTATCTATAACCCAGAATCACAAATATAAGCAAGAACTCCACATAAGTGAGAAACCTCAGGAAGAGCACTCAGGGAGGGATCGCTGTTCAGTTATGGACGTTTATAGTAATAAGGCAGTCAGATTTTATGCTTATGGATGGATATGTTTCAAATTATTTTATTGAACAATGAACTGTTGACCGGATTATGCTGTGACAGCAACACAATCTAATCTCTCCTCAGGGACAACAACATTGAAGAGTGTGGTCTGGAAATGTACTTCTCAGTAGACATGGAGATCCTGGGGAAGATCACATCTCATGACCTCAAACCTGATGGCACCAATGTTCTAGTCACTGAGGAGAACAAGGAGGAGTATATCGGGTTGAGTATAGCCACTGGTTTATCATAAAAGTGACTATATCTGGCATCTGACTATAATTTTGAGAGTGACTGTAATTCTTGCCGTCTGCCTTGCAGTCTAATGGCAGAATGGAGGTTCTCTCGAGGGGTAGAAGGTCAGACCAAAGCCTTCCTGGACGGCTTCAACGAGGTGGTTCCACTCCAGTGGCTCCAGTACTTTGATGAAAAGGAGCTTGAGGTGAGCAACATCCCCGATGCTGCTAGTGCAGTAACATGCTCCGGTCTATGTTAATGTTTCTTATGTGTGTTTATTTTAATCCCAATAACCTATCCCACTCGACAGAGCTTTTATCCCAGTAAGCAATCTGGTTAATTAATCATTACTTGAGTAAGATGAATAATGTGTGTAGAAAATTATTATTTATCTGTAGAGAATTCCCCGTATGCATCTCTCCCTTTACGTCTGTCTATTTTTGGTTTATTCTGTCAGCGCTCAAAATTAGGGATGTCCTGTTGTCCCATGGACAATAAAAATAACACCTGGGACACAAGATTGGGTATCTGGGGCAAGTCTGAGACAATGTATCATCACAAATTGAATGAATAAGTTTATCATCATTTTAATTGTTAGGTGGCACTGGCACAAGCTCTGTGCTACGTCTCATGTGCACCCAAAATCAGTCAAAGAGAGGTTTCTCCCTCTCCTCTTGTGTCGTGTGCAGTCAGTCAGTAGGTGTGCTGTGTGGGGCACGTTTGACCATCCAAGTCTTACTCTCCAGTTATCATTATGTAGCATAAACAGTCAGATGTTTCACCACCCCTGTGTTCTGGGTCATTCATGTGCTTGTACATGTGTGTCTGATCCAGGTGATGCTGTGTGGCATGCAGGAAGTAGACCTGCAGGACTGGCAGAGGAACACAGTGTATCGTCACTACACGAGGAACAGCAAACAGATCATCTGGTTCTGGCAGGTACGGTCTCACACACACAAACACACACCTTATGTCTGTACTCGCCACCCTCTGCTGTTAATAACTGAAAGGGGCAGAATAGAAACACAATATTCAAAGGTGTTGCACCTTACTGGTTTTCGTTTGAGTTCATGTTGAAATGATATTATATCATCTGACGGTCTAGTCAGTGGTCTCTGGTCACTGATGGGTGGGTGTGTGTGTGTGTGTGTGTGTGTTGTCACTTCCTCCCCTGCAGCTGGTGAAAGAAGTGGACAATGAAGTCCGACTGCGGCTCATGCAGTTTGTCACTGGAACCTGCAGGCTTCCTCTGGGCGGCTTCGCTGAACTCATGGGTCAGTGTCAGACAGACTCACAAAGAGGAACACATTTACTATATCATCGTAATCATTCAGACACACAGAGCTACTACACACACACACACATAATTCTTCATCTTCTTTTGGATTGCAGGAAGTAATGGCCCCCAGAAGTTCTGTATTGAGAAGGTGGGGAAGGACACATGGCTTCCTCGGAGCCACACGTGGTGAGTAGAAATTAGTAGTTAATAGGATTCAGATAGGTAATAATAAGGAATTGACTGAACGGCATGGCACGAGATAGAAACAGTAAAAGTAACTAGTAACTAATAACTTAACCTTATAGTAGCATAAACGTGACAGACCATGACCGTGTACTGATCTTTGGTCTTCCCTTTTTGTCTTTTCAGTTTTAACCGTTTGGACTTGCCTCCTTACAAGAGTTTCGAACAGCTGAAAGAGAAGCTGCTCTTTGCCATCGAGGAAACAGAAGGATTTGGCCAAGAATAGAGGGAGGAGTCCCCTTGTATTTCTCTCCCTCCCCCATCGCTGTTTATTCAGCCAAGTAAAAACAAACAAACAAAAAAAATTGCACAAAATAACCACCAATGTATATAAGCTATTTTGACATTTTAAACCAAATCTTAATTTGCAGCATCATTTTTGCCGCAATCCTGTTCCCCAGCCCTTATATATTATATGATACCCCATCATGAAATATGCAAGCATTTCAGCATTTCTGCTCCTCTGTTTAAAAACAGAAATCATGGATATTTTTTTAATTTCCTCCCCACTGCTGACTGGCTTTTTAAAAGAGACTAAAAGTGTTTTTGAGAGGATTTTATAGTTGAAGCGCAATCTTCTTTTAAAGCTCTAGTTCTATAGAGCTTCTAAAAGGCAAAAGTAGTATTGGGGTCTGGTGCCTGAATTTTTTTCTCCCCTGTTGGACCCATAGTAATTATTTTGCCATTTCTGCGTGCTTGCATGGCTGCCTCCGGAGATGAGAAGACTGCTGTGACCAGCTTCCACCACCACACATACACAAACAAAGACATTTTAGCATGGATGCTCTGTCTCTTCATGAGTTTTTTTTTTTTTTTTAACCATCATCGTCAAAAAGGCAAAGTGTTCAGGATTGACTGACCTGAAGCAGATGAAGAATATCCCTCATACATTTGTCCCCTCAATGACATTCTGGACAACAGCCCAGAGTATCACCGGATCCTCCCATTGGAATAAAGACACCAGTGTCGTGAAGTTGGTGGAGAACGGCTACTTTATCAAAAGGAATAAGGGGATTCAAGGAAAATTCTTGATTTAAGTGAAAGAGTGAACTGTGTGTGTGGTGGCGTCGGGGTCTGTGGTTCATAGTTCTGATGTTTAAGCCAGTGACCTCTGGACATGTTCTGTTCCACCTAGACTGCAGCCCACTGCTTCAGTTAGCAAGGAAGATACACACCAGGATGACATCTCACAGTTTTTATTCAAAGATTGAGTTGTTTGGAAAATTGTCACAACAAAAAAGAGGAAAAAAGCAGATTCTGGCTGAGTGGTTCTTGTGTGCCTGACTGATTCGCTTTTGCTTCATTCAGTTCCGATCTCGGTAATCTTGGTGATCTCTGTAAAGTGATGCCAGTCGTATGAAGCCACTGTGAGTTACAAAGCACAGGAAGATCACATTTACTTTAACTCCTCAGTTATTGGTAACCATTAAAATCAAAGGCAGCTTATAATATTTCATCCATCCATCTTGAGTTGTAATAAGGTCCAAAGGACTCCTCATTCATATGAATGTCCTCCTTTCAGCACATTCATACATGTACTGAAAGAAGCTTCTGTTTCAGCTTCTCACTTATTACCAACCATTAATCACAACTGGAGTAGTAACGCAATAATGTCCTTCTAAGTTCCACATATAATGAGGTTTTTATTTTTTATTTTGGCCAGTGATCATAAAGAAGATCAGGGGCACTGGACTAAAAAAGTCAATCAAATTTTGTGTCTTGAATGACTTGAAAGCAACATATACAAACATATACAACTATATACAAATATTGCATGCTGGCATCACAGAGCGGCCACTGGCTAAATAAAAGAAAATAAGCATTTTAACATTTCTGTGGGGCTGAAATTTTGGGCTTCTGAAAGTCACGGGTCATAAGCCTGTACGGTATTGTTGGAAAATAACAATTCTGTCACATACAGTGTGTATCTGCTATTTTCAACAGTGTGACTACAGTAAAGCAACACAAAATTTAAGCAGTAGTGCAGAGCCCACTTTTCTTTTTCAGTTTAATTTATTCCTCCATGTTCAGTCTCATTCTCAGGTTTTGTGCTGAGATCAGTCAAGTCAAGGCTGTTTGCAGAAAACAAAACTAGCCTAATTCACATACAAATAATGATTAGAAGACTTCATTCATAAGACACTAATGTGCCACAGACCAAATAATGTGTGGAAAACCTTCCACAGTGCAAGCACAGCAGCAAGCCTGATGATGCATCACATTGTTAATTGTGTGTTTTTGTTTTTGCACCCCCATTTTCCCCTTGTCTTTTCTTTCCTTAAATGCTTCAGGGGACATGCCCTTTGTTTTTCAAAATGTCACGTCTAACTCCATTGTTTCTTGATGACAACTCTGGTGCTTATTCTTTCAGTCAGCAGTCTAAACGCAGGATAAAAAGCTGGCAGTGGCCGGCCATCCTCCTTCTTTTCTTTTAGCATTGTGTTTTTTTCAGACCACTGCAGACAGCAGCAAGCTGCTTTAGACTTTCTAGGAGGAGCTTGTGATTACTCAAGTTATCAGTGATGTATATAACATGTATTCAGCTGTCCCTATGGAAGAGCTGGAATGAGGGACGACAGTATGAAGAAAAACATTTACTGTAGCAAAAGGAGCTGACTCTTAAGAGAAGTCAAAACTGCATAACTTTGTGCTTCCTTTTGAACGGAAACCTGTAATCAAAGAAAATCAACTGTGTATGTGAATATTCATTGTATAAAGATAATGAAAGTAAATAAAGTACTTAAATATTATAATTAATTACACAGAGCCGCCGCTCCATTGATGGAAATCTGTGATGCCTTTGTTCTTATCAAAAATAGATGGGACGCTTCAGGTTGCCTCCATCGCAGCAAGTAACAAGATCAAAGATCACCTGGACAGGTGGATTCCCTCAAAGCAAAGCTGAGTCATGATGCTGTCTATCATTTCAGTACGTGATTACGCTGCAGGGAACTGTGCTGGCTGCGGTTTAGGCAATCTGAAACGCATCCAAACTGTAACATATCGTGTAGATACACACTGTAAACACCAACTACACTGTACAGAATGCCCCTTTACTGGAGACGATGTGTATAGAAGATTCATTTTTAATCTGCTTTCACCCACTTTAATGAAGAGAGATGGATTTATGAGATACAAATAAATAAGTGAATAAACCCCCTCCATGACCATGCTTTCTTTTGTTTGTTGTGTGATTATCGGGAGGTGAGAGGCCTTCTGCTCAGGATGTACAACAAAACTGGTTCTTCTGTTCTGAAAGAAAAATAAAATAATGTACTCTTGGTTTATCTTTTGTTTTGACTGGATCTTACCTGTGGAAAGAACCATATTGAATAAATGTATCTGACCATCTTTACAGCTGGTTTGAATTCGTTTTTATTTCTTGTCACACGGCTGTGGCAAGAGCAGGTACCTTTTATTTTCTTGTATGTTTTAAGTTCAGGTTTCAGTTCATTTCTGCATTTTCAGCAGTGCTTTTCATTTTTTTGTACAATTGTCAGCATTCCAGTTTCAGCTGGAAATGCAGTTTCTAATTAATTTATTCTGTAGCAGCACCTGTGCTGTGCCTCCTGTACTGTTCAGACTTACTGGATTTTTACTTAGTTGCAGAACTTTAAATGTAGTTTAGAAATAGCCTATACAAACAGAACATGAATCTCTACAATAACAGTACAACATCTTCATATAAAATAAATGTCAGCAAGCATTCATTTGGTGATCTGGACGTAAAAAGATGTGAACACCTGCTAAATTTGCTTGTAAGGTGGAAGTTCATTAGACGTCTAGATTGCATGCAATGGCTTTTTAGAGGGCATATGACTTGAAATATTCCTTTAACAGACCTGATTCTGGGTCTAGGAGTTATTAAAAGGAATATATGAAATATATCTGTAACATAGCCGTCTAATCAGCCTCCACTTTTCCACTTTTGACGTGTCCTCAGAGAGCTACAATAACAGGGCAGGTATTGGCCTGCTGTAACCACCGGTTCAGATATGAAAAAGCAGTCATTGTAATAATGTGCTGATAACTAATGTGACAGCTGACCAGGATGTTTATGGCTTGGTTCATTAAATAACCACAATGTCGGTGCCGAGTTAGCATTCACACCGTCGTTCTGCCAGCGTTTACGTTTTTCAGTCGACTTAAGTGAGTAGTGCGTACCCAATGAACACAGGGAACATACTGTTCAACCCCTGACCTATCTGGAATAAAATGAATATAATCCTCAGATATTTCAGGTTACGATTTAACAGCACCTCTCCCTCTCAAATCTGATTTATCATTGGGTTTGAAGTAATACCTTCAGGTAGATTGAACACTCCACAGACTATCTTCTATATCCAGGAATGGATTCATTAAATCTCAAAAGACAAACAATTAAGATCATTTTTATCTGAAGAAAACCCAGCATTCCAGTAAAAACACAATCAATGTGTAAACTTTAACATTTACTTTAATATTTACTATAACATTTATGTTTGACTCCAGATATACAGATACAGCTTTGTAATGAAATTGGTTACGTTTATTGATCCAAACTTAAAAAAGTGACAATGTTCACTGTTTTCAAATATTTAGCCCATCTCAGGGGCCAGCTGTCAGACAAAAGCCAGACATTGATAGATATATAGACACCATGTAGATCCTGTTTACCACTGCGATATCAAAAGCTGAGTGTTGCAGCTTTGATGGTTGGACGTTGAATCTCGTAAAGGCATTCTGTGTGCAAGGCCACTCACAGTTATACTGTATTAGTGGTTATAAAGTCACAGAAAGAAAACATTAGCATTTTATTTGCATGATAGCAAATATTAACAGCCCTAAAGCCCCCAAAGGCATCCTATTCCCCTCAGTGGTGATCACAGCTTCATCCTAGCTTCTTCAAGAGGTCGACAGCCTCTTTATGGACCTGCAGAGGAACAAATATACTGTAAACCCACTGAGTATGTTCACAGCAGCACGTACAATTCCTACATCTTCCTCACGGTTAAACTTTATTACATCTGGGTCAGGTACAAACGCAGTAAATCAACAAGCTAGTAGTCTAGGTGTATGTACCTCTTTGTCTTCTTGTGTGTGAGGAGGGTACTCTTTTGCTTTGGTCAGCCACAGAAGTGCTTTCTGTTTGTCGTTCATGGCCATGTAGGTCTTCCCGAGCATTACCAGGTTTTTACTATAGAAGTTTGGATCAACTGAGAAAAAATAAAGAAATTGTGTGTTAGTTGAATACAATAAAACCTCTGAATAACACATTTACAAGCACAGTGCTGTCTGAGTATTTGAGCTGCAGCCAACAGGAGATCAGCAGCTGCCTCAGTGACTTTATTAGCATGCTGTATTTTACCTTCTTCAGCTTTCAGGAAGAATTCCAAAGCCTGAAAGAGGCAGAGAAGCATGACTTCATTCACATGTGCAAAGATGTTTGTAACCCTCCAGGCCCAAACCAAAAAGTGACAAACAACATGTCATTTCAGCCTGAAGCTGCATTAACAGTCAAGCATTGAGCAGTTAGTAACAAAACAAAGAAAGACTCCTCACCTCCTCGTATGTGGACGTAGGCGGTGATGAAAAAATTACAGCCGCCACCTTGCGTTGATACCATGGCAGCTCAGCAAAAGCAAAGCACCTTAGAGAGTGAAAATATACAGATTTCCCTTAATAATAAAGCCTTTAAGCTCTAATAATATATAATTTGGCACAGTAGGGACATCTTGGACAAAAGGTCTGACCTGGTAAACATTATAACTGCTAATCATCAGCATGTTAGCATTTAGCTCAGAGCATTGCTGTGCCTCACAGAGCTGCTAGCATAGACTTTAAAATGAGTCCTTTATTCAACATGCAGACTGTAGAGGAAAAATAAATGATCATTTGGTGAATAACCTTTGTATTAAGTGTGATTCTCTGTGTTATACTGTTTTGTAGAAAGCATGACTGGCTCCATTTTAGTCATTTCTATTCATATTAAGTAAGAAAATGTAGGACTTCTTGTGGCACGCTACAGTTTTTTGCAGTGAAGTAATATCCAGTAAACACTAGATTAGAAGTACAGCTCTGTTAACCTCCAGTGGCAATGAGGGGGAATCGCAACAAAACTGACAAGAACATCTTTTTCTCCAAAACAGCAAAAGTGTTATTCCCCTTTGAAAGAACATATGGTAAACATCTGTATCTTTAAGTCTCATGCAATTTGGTTTTTCGCTGTTTCTTTCCATCTGGTTTACATGCAGTTCCGATTGCGTTCTCAGGGCCTCAAAGAGTGACAACTGCAATATTTCTGCCACCACTTACTCCTCTTCACCCTCATCACTGCCACCATTCCTACAGCAAAAACACTTATTCCAGTGCCAACCACTTCCTCAGCCTCCAGAAAGAGAGTTGTCAAATGTAAAACAGACTTGGCTTGTCTAAGTTTGTATCCATCAGAGCTCGATATTATCTTTTTTCCTCAGCGTCCCGCAACTGCCCTAAATTCTACTTTCAACTCCCAAATTGTCCCAGATTGTTCCAAATTTTCCCCCAAATTCCAAATGTTTTTTTAATTTTATTTTACATAATAAAAAAGTACATTTTATCATTTTATTTCAGTAACTCGCATCACTT